TAGTGGTAGTGGTAGTGGTAGTGGTAGTGGTAGTGGTAGTGGTAGTGGTAGTAGTGGTAGTAGTAGTAGTAGTAGTAGGAGTAGGAGTAGGAGTAGTAGTAGTAGTAGTAGTAGTAGTAGTAGTAGTAGTAGTAGTACTCGTAGTAGTAGTAGTAGTAGTAGTAGTCGTCGTAGTCGTAGTCGTAGTCGTAGTCGTAGTCGTAGTAGTAGTAGTAGTAGTAGTAGTAGCAGTAGTAGTAATAGTAGTAGTAATAGTAGTCGCCGTGCTAACAGTTGTACTAGTAGTGGTCGTACTCGTAGTAGTAGTAGTAGTAGCAGTAGTAGTAGTAGTAGTAGTAGCAGTAGTCGTAGTAGCCGTCTTAGTAGTAGTAGTAGTAGTAGTAGCAGAAGAATGGCTAGTACTAGTACTAGTACTAGTGCTAGTAGTAGTGGTAGTTCAAGTAGTAGTCGCAGCAGACGTAGTAGTAGTAGTAGTAGTAGTAGCAGTAGTAGTAGTCGTAGTAGTGGTAGTAGTAGTTGTAGTAGTAGTAGTAGTTGTAGTAGTAGTAGTAGTAGTAGTAGTAGTAGTAGTAGTAGTAGAGCAGTAGAGTAGTCGAGTAGTAGTAGTAGTAGTAGTTAGTAGTAGTAGAGTAGTCGTAGTAGTTAGTAGTAGTAGTAGTATAGTTAGTAGTAGTTAGTAGTCGTTGTAGTAGTAGTAGTAGTAGTAGTAGTAGTTAGTAGTAGTCGTAGTAGTAGTAGTAGTAGTCGCAGTAGTAGGAGTAGTAGTAGTACTAGTAGTCGTAGTAGTAGTAGTAGTAGTAGTAGTAGTAGTAGTAGTAGTAGTGGTGTTAGTAGTATTATTCTCAGTAGTAGTAGTAGCAGTAGTAGTAGCAGTAGTAGTAGTAAGTAGTAGTAGTAGTAGTAGTAGAAGTAGTAGTAGTAGTAGTAGTAGTAGTAGTAGTAGTAGTAGTAGTGGTAGTCGAAGTAGTAGTAGTAGTAGTAGTAGTAGTAGTAGTAGTAGTAGGAGGAGGAGGAGGAGGAGGAGGAGAGGAGGAGGAGGAGGAGGAGTAGGAGTAGGAGTAGGAGTACGTGTAGTAGTAGCAGTATGATTGTGACGATGATTATGGTGATAATGACGATGATGGTGAAGATGATGCTGATGATGATGCCTTACAGGTGGCTAGTTGCTGGGCGTCCTGGGGTCGTATAGGCTCCTGACCCCTCTGTATTACGGGCGCTCCTTTCTTCTTCCATGTGCGCGTTCTCCTCTGCGTCCTCCTCGGCACGAGGCGATGGCGCGTGTCCCGTGACTGCTGTGGCCATTTCTGAATCGTTCAGCGCACAGCAGCCGCAAGTTCACAGTGGCAAGTGTGGGCGAGGCAGGGGTCGAGTGCACATCGTATCAAGCGCACTAGCGTTGCAGATTCGGCGTGGCACACATGGCGTCCACACAGTTCCCCGCGAATTGTGCCAAGTATCCTGTGTGGTGATGATGGCGGAGTTTCTTCTGATCAGGGGTCGGGACCGTGAGAACGCATTGCCCCCCGCGAGGAGAACGGTTTCGCGATTCCTGTGCCTCCAATGTTGTTCATTACCATAAGATGGCCTTGCGATTCTTCCAGCCAGCCAGAAAATAGTCGTCTTTGAAACAGAGCATGTCATGAGTCACACGCGCCAGGAAAAATTACATGTTTCGGTCCAACATGACAGTTTCCTCATCACCCAGGAATGAATAGGTGATCCGTGTGCACGAATTGGCATACTTCGATTATGTTTTGTAGCTCTTATACTGCTCATTTATGACGGCAGATTCAGAAACTCTTTAAACTTGTTTCATTGATTTGGGCTGTCTGGGCATGCTCGTGGGCCCTTCTGGGGGGGTAGTGGAATCATGGGGGCCCTGTTGGGCCATCTTGACGCCATATCGGGCCCTCTCGGAGCCGCCTTGAGCCTTGGACCGCACGAGACGCCGGTCATCTGGGGCCGAAGGAGGCTTTGCTCGACAGTGCCACGGCCTGCCAGCGGGTGCCCCCACGAAGAAGATGGACTCCGCGACGGCCGCGGGAAGCCGATGCATTCCAGGCTCCACGGCCGGCCGTGCAGAGGACGGAGGGCCGGAAAGAGCCCTCGCCGCAGACATCCTCCGACGTGTTTTTTGCAATCCTCCTCCTCCTCCTCCTCCTCCTCCTCTTCTTGCATCCTCCTCATGCACCCTGATGGTCCCTGGGCCAGAGGACGAGCCCAGGAGGCCGAAATGGTGGAAACACGCCGGGGTTGAAGACACCATCGGGGCGTTCCAGAAAGGGCCTCGCCTTCGAGGATAGAAGGAGTTGCCATCACTTCCGCCGCGGAGGGCGGCGGATGGTCGGCGGAAGGCCGGCGGACGTAAAGCGAGGCCGCCCCCGCCGGAGGACGGCCGGCGGAGGGCGGCGGAAGTAAAAGGTGCGCCTCCAAGAGATGAAAACGTTTTTGGGCCCAGGGCTTTCGGAATCCGCCCACAAAATGTGGCGATCTGGGCCCACCGCGCCGCTCGTGCCAGCTGTCGACCGGCCCTGCCTCTGCCGGCCGGGGCGGGGCCCGGCCAGCTCCCCGCCAGGCGCCGCGCCTCCGCGCGCGCGCCCGCCGCCATGCCTGCGCGCGGCCGGCCTGGTGCCGCGCCCCCCCGCCCGAGGGGCCGGGCCTCCTTGTAGTCTCAAGGCGGGCATGTCCCTCTTCAGGGGGGACGATTCGAAAATAGTAAAACATGTCCGGGGACGCTTTTTAATACTTTTGACTATGTTTGAAGTTGTCTTGGCTGCTTTTCCTTCTTCTTCCCAAATCCGCAGGTCGGAGGACATGCCCGACCTAATTGTAATCCCGCGGTTCCCTTGCGCCCTTCTCCTCCGGCCTCCTCCCAGGGGCAATGGTACAGTGGGGACGCGCATCAAGAAATCGAATGTTTGTCGTCAGTGCCTCCTGGGTTTCCTCGCTGCGCGCGCTGCGCGATGCCTTCCCGTGGCCGTTGAAGGAGCTGTTGCGTTCGGGGTGCTCTGGCCCCCCCCCCCCACTTGCGTCTCGCGCCCGCGGGTTTCAGGGCCGGGCTTCTTGCGAGGATTTCTTGCGGCCGCCCCCAATCGCCCACTGGTCGCCGACAGGGCCCTGATAGCCCCAACCTGCCCAGGAACGTGCGGATGCACTTTGGGGGCCTATCGCCGATCTATCGGCGATGTATCGCCGACTCCAGGTCGATGTGTGCCCCCCTGTGCCGGTCCCCCCCCCATCGTTGCTCCTCATCCTTCCACCCAGACGCGCCTCAGATCCCGGCGTCGCAGTTTTTGTCGCGCTGGGTGCGTTCGCATCATTTCGGGCCCCGCGGCCGTCACGGGTCGATCTGGCTCGAGAGACGTCGCAGAGAGAGGGGGTCTGTGGCACCAGTAGTGATTCCCCGCGAGGCTGTGACGTTCTCGCGTCGTCGGATCTCAGGGGGGTGGCGCCGCGGGAAAGCTTTGACGGAAGGCGTCGGCCCTGTCTTCGCCCTCGGGGGCCAGGGCCCTGCCCCCAGGACCGTCAACCAGACGAGGCCGGGGGAACGGCCGGCCTTTGGGGAAGGGGTCGGGATCTCTGGGGGGGCATCTCGAACAAATGAAAACTTCGGATGTCTGTGCATGCTTCCTGCATCATGTGCTCTCTTCCACCTTCCCTCCACCCCTTCCGTTTCTCCTTCCTGCACCCTTCCGCCTTCCTCTGCCTCCCCCCAGGGGGATCCCAGAAATCCTGCGTCGCGACAGGTGAGCACGAGAAAGCTACCCACCGTTACCCTCATACATAGCTACCCAGAGTGGACTCGAGAGCGTCATGGCCCACTCCGTGAAAAGCCCACGAGCATTTCCAGAGGGGGCTCCCTCGCTGAAGGAACTCGGGGGGCTGGCGCTTCGGATGGCTGCCCCTGGTGGCAGGAGCGCCCGCAGAGGTCAGCGGGCGAAAGGCCCGAGGGAGGCCCCGCCAGCGGAAGCAGAAGAGCCAACACAGCCTTTTCGGCGCGGCGCGGCAGAGGCAAACTCCGCACGAGCGCTCGAGTTGCCGGGGGCGCTCGGCAGAGCCGGCGGCAGGGGGGAGGGGGCACGCCGCGAGGAGACGATCTCAGCCGCGGAGGACGGGAGGGAGGGCTGGGGCACTCACGGATGGCCGAAAGCATTTCAGGATGAGCGCCCCGCGGCGGCCAGCTTGGGGCCTGACGTGACCGCGCTGGCGATCCCGCAGTGCCTCTTGAGACACTTGTCCCTTAGGATGCAGCCTGTGGGAGCCTCAACTTGGCATCGGCACTGGTATATCCGTCGTCCAAGCCCAGTCTAGTCCAGGCTGATCCCGCTCAGCTCCGCCTCATCCAGTTTGATCTGGTTGAGCCAACCACACAGCGGACTTTTAATTGATCTTGCGGTCGCGATTGTTTGGATACGGTGTTGCTCCACTGGTTCTGGTCCACGAGGCTTCGGCGCGACACGCCATCCACTTCCCTGGTCCCTCAGCGTTGAAGTCCTGCGTTTTGTCCGCGCCTCCCGCCCCGCGGAGCGGAGCGACCCGGTGCCTGGTTGCAGGGCATAGCGTGTCGCCGGGGCCGCCGCCGCGCCACGCGAAGCGAAGTTCCCGACCGCAGCAGCTCGTGATCGTTCTCTTGTTCGTCGTTTTGCCGATCGGCGCGGGCCCTCGACCCCCCCCCTCCTCCCCCCTGGTGGAGTAGACCTTGGCTGCGTTGGGCGCCTGCGTCAAGCAGGTTGACGGCTCCGCGCAGGACTGCCCATGGAGGCAATGCTCCAAACAGTCGCACTGAGCAGAGGTCTCCGGAGCCAGACCCCCCTCCCCCCTCCCCTCCCTTCCGCTCAATGCCGAAACGCCGAACAAGAAAACGCTCACCTCTCCATCGTGCTCACGACTACCTCCCAGGAGTTGCCGACGGGTGCCCTTCCGCTGGCGTTCTGGCGCACGCGGGCCAGCCCCGCGCGGCCGCGCCGCCACGCCGCGGACACTCGCCGCGAGCGGGCGCCATGTCGAGCGCCCCGCTGGCGGCCCCGGCCGCGAGCGACGAGCACCGCGCGGATGCCGCGCACGCCGCGCCGCGCGGGAACCCCACGCTGGCGGAGGTCGAGGCGCCCTGGGCCAACAGCCGGTACTTCTTGGTCGATGTCGTGAGCCTCGGTGCTCTCGCCAGCATCATGGGCGTCGCCTCCTATGCGTACGGGTACATCGTGGGCGACCTGCTGAGCAAGTGGCTCACCTGGGCGGGCGGCGGCAAGGACTACCCGGACGAGTACCTGAAGGACGGCGGCCTGGGCTGTCCCTGGTGGGTCCTGCTCTGCTGGCTGGGTGGGACCGCGGTCGGCGTGTTGAAGGTGGCGGTGGGGCTTGACAGCTACAACCCCTTCATTGTCGAGATCCGCTCGCAGCACTGCGACACGCTGCCTGGACTGAAGACGTGTCTCTGCTGCGTCGTCACGCTGTTTTCTGGGGCGTGCATGGGACCAGAAGCGGGCCTGGCGTCCCTCGGCGGAGGGATAGGATCAGGAGGGGAAAAACACACAGACACAAGCAATCGTCGATCGCCAGGAAGATCTGAAACATGTGAGAAGTGGGGGGGGGAGACGAACATCCAGAAAATATGAGAGAGTATGGGGAAGCTTGGGATTTGTGTGTGCGCTCATTTGTGTGTCCCTGGGCCCCTTCATAGGAACCTTCTTCGCGGCCTGCGTAGCCCGCCTCGGACCAGACTGGGCTGCGGAGGCTGACGAGCGCCGGCGCCTCTACGTGCTCGGGGGCATATGCGCGGCGTTCGGCACCATCATGCCATCGCCGTGGGTGGCCCTGCTGATCTGCATGGAGTGCTCGTTGCTGAAGGACGACGCCGAGGGCAAGCAGCTGAGGCTGTTCGGTAGGCGAACGCTCTTTATCCTGGGCTACGCTGCCATCGTGGCGTTTGGTGTTCGCTACGGGGTCAAGGCGATCAGAGAGCTGCCAGATCTCGCCGGGGACCTGCGGCGCAGCGGCGACCATTACAAGAACGACGATCTGCCGAAGGCGGCGCTTCTGGGAGCGATCGGGGCGGTGGCCGCGCTCGTTTATGCCATCATAGGTGCTGTTGTGAAGGGCGCCTTTGTCAAGATTGGCACCCTCCTGGAGCGCAGTCTCGGTAAGCAGGCCCGGGTTTTCTCGCTGTGCTCCCTGGCGGGCCTGCTCACAGGCGTGCTGGGCTACCTGTGCCCGATGTCCCTCACCTCCGGCAAGGAGGCAATGTTCCCACAGATCCTCTCCAGGCTGGGAACCAGCCCCTTGTTTCCGACCCCGGTGGGGTCGGCCTGGTCCTTGCTGTGGATCGTCGTCGCAAAGACGCTGTCGTTCTCCGTCGCGGCCGCCGGTGGTATGGTCGGGGGCCCCTTCTTTCCAGTCCTGTTCATCGGCGTGGTGGTTGGCCAGATGTGCGCCCTGATCCCCATCGAGTGGAGCTTGCACCCCACGGCGATCACTGTGCCTTGTGCCATGGTCGCCATGCCGAGCTCAGTGTTTCCGATACCCTTCACGCTCGTGGCCATACCGCTGAGCTACTTCCACCTGGGCACCATGGGGTGCGTTCCGATTCTGGTGAGCATCGTGACCTCCTACACTCTGGTGGTTGGATCTGGCCTCCTCAAGGCCCTCGCGCGCGCCTGAGGATCCATGGTGAAGCGTTTCCTCGCTGACACGACGCTGGCGGAGGCTGGCAGGCCAAGCCACCGTAAGCACAAGGGCGTTCCTTGCAGTCAGTACCCGTCTTGCCCGCCATGTCCGCCTAGAGCTTACCCCCCACATCCCCCCTGTTCCCTTTCCTCCTCTGGCCTTCTGGTAAGACGGGCGCGCATCGCAGGGGAGGACTCGGGTTCGCACGTGGCGCAGACGCACAGCTTGCAGAGGCGCTCGTGTGGCGTTCAAGCCTTCAGCAACAGTCGAGTCGGTTCACCCCGCGGATAATCTGACCCCGCTCCGGGCCCGCCTTGAGCCCTCGGAGTCTTGAGCGGGCATCGTTGAGGCGAGTGTTTCCCTCGAAGTCCCGTTGCTCAGCAAGTTTTGATATTGCGAGCGAAGACGCACAGTTAAGCATGTATCGATTTATCTGGGCGAGGCCACAATGGCGACGAGGGGTCGCGCTGCGGGAGCCAATACAACAAAAATGGGGACGTGCATCGCAGTTAAAGGTAATTGTCGCGGTCATCTTCCGTGCTTCAATCGACAGCTGAGACGCGCGAACACAAGAGATCGATTCGGATCGATTCACGCCGAGATGTTCTCATGTGGGTAATGCCATCACGGTTTCGACCCGTTTTCCACAAGCGCAGAAGTTGCAGCTTCTGACTCCATAGTGGGGGGCCCCGGAAACGGCAGGGCCGTTTTCTCATTGTTTCCGAAGGTGTGTCTCTTCAAAATGGAAGCGGCAAAACGAATGCGACCGGATACGGCAAAAAGACGGCTCCAGGATTGGAACCCGAGCCAGAACCGGAACAAAAAACGGCGACGGGACGGGTAGAAAACGGCGTCGGAACCGGCAGAAAAAGGCAAGGCAGAACCAGTGAAAAAAACGGCCTAGTTGTTTCCAGGGCCCACGAAGTCTGACTCCCCTCTTGTCCCCCCCCCCACGTCGCATCCTTCATCCCCGTCAGAGCTTTCCCCACCCCCAACTGGGCAAAGGGAAGGGCAAAGGGCAAGCTGGCTCTCCCACAGAGCACCCCTTCCAGGTGGGGATGGGCGCCCCTCGCATCCCGAAGGAGACGGCATCCGTCCCCACTACGTATAGTAGTGGGGGGAGGGGTTACCCAACGGAGCCAAGGCTTCCCCTGTGGGGGTGGGGACGGTTGTTCTTGCCCAGAATCCTGTCCTTGAGGGGGGAAGTGCAGGGCTCGTTTCGATTCCTCCGATGCGGCTCGATTCGACTTCGATGGCTTCCGATTCCGATTCGATTCGGTTTCGGATCCGGATTTGGGCTCCGATTCTTATTGGACGCATACTAGGCTGCCGATGTCCGCCGATTCGACCTCTCCCGACTTGGCTGCCGATTTCCGCCGATCCGACTCGCTTCAACTGCCGATCCGACTTGTCGATTCGATTCTGGGCTCTCCCGGAAGTGGTGTCAGCACGAGGTGCAGACGATGGGCGGCGCTGTCGGTCGCTACCTGCTGGACACGCCCGGCAAGAGGGATGAGGACTGGCCGCGGGAGACAGGGCCGCAGGCGCGTGCCATGCAGCAGAGCTCCTCCCGAGTGGGAATTTGATTGGAGGGCTCAGGATGCATACAGTGGAGGCGCGCATCAAGAAACCATGTATGCTTCGTCAGGGTACCCTGGGTTTCTTCGCTCCGCGCGATGCGCAGTGACTTCCCGCGGCTGTCAAAGAAGCTGCTGCGTTCAGGGTGCTCCGTGTTTTCCCTCAGGTGCACCTCGCGCACGGGTTTTCAGTGTTGGATGTTCATTTAGTAGCCCTTCACCACCCACTAGGATCCACTTCTGTCATCCACTGCGGCTCCCTCTTTAAATGCTGAGCTGCTGCAATGTCAGTCGCCGTCGGGCACAGTTGCGTGATATGTTACCCTCCCTGGGACAAGGAGAGAACCAGAAATCGGCGAGGTAGCGACTTATCCAGGGCATCGTACCTCCTCGGGAATTACGTTTCTCCTTTGAAGTTTCCCATGGGACAGAAGGGAGGTCAGTAATCAGCAAAAACACAAATACGTAGCACCCCGCAGTTGCGGATAGGAGTGAGGGGGCGGCGGGGACGTCGGTTGTCTGCGAGGCTCTGAAGAAGCCCGCCACAGACGCTCCTTTTGTTTCTCAAATTATACAACGAGCCCTCCGCAGGCGCCAATTTTCTGTTGATGGGTCGCGAGTGGATTGCGGGCCTTGTCGCGGGCCTGGTCGCGGGTGGGTCGTTGGAAGGGTCGCGGGCGGGTCGCGGGGTGGGTCGCGGGTGGGTCGCGGGTGGGTCGCGGGTGGGTCGCGGGGTGGGTCGCGGGTGGGTCGCTGGTAGGTCGCGGAAGAGCCGCAGGAGGGTCGCGGGTGGCTCGCGGGGTGGGTCGCGGGTTCTCGTGGGTCCTCTTGGCGCGTTCTCAGGGCTTCTTGGGGGCCTCTTGGTCCGCCTTAGGCCACCTTCCGCGCGTAAGAGCTCTGGGCTCTCTTGGGCCGTCTTGGCGGCTTTGCAGGCGTTGCCGCCTCCCCTCCCTCCCCCATCCCGTCTTCCCCGGCCAAGCCGCCCCCGCACCCTTTCTCGTGCAGCGCGGGAGCGGTCCTGGAAATGGTAGAACCGCCCCCCCTTTTTTCCCGGTAGAGCCACCCTGGCACGCCACCCAGCAGAGTTGAAGCTCAGGCTGTAGCCTTTTGACCTAACACGCCGGGTCGGCGGATTTCTGCAGAAGGAATATCGAGGAATGTACAGTGCTGAAGGCTCGATGAACCTCATAACATGCGCAAGGCAAGCTACGTGTTGCGACGTTAGGCTAGTGTGCGTTGCGTTCACCTGAGTTGTGTTGCTTGGCGTTGAGCTCTGGAATGTCATGATTATCGGTACGGCGCAGCGCAGCGCATTCCAATCTCTCGATCTACTTTGTTATGATGAGGTTTGCCGTACCTCGCGCAGTTGTTCTTCACTTTGCGCGTTCGCGGCGGATTGCGTTGCTCTGCTGCAGCGCGGTTCTATAGTCGCATTGCGCTGCAATGGGCTGAGTTGCCTTGCGCTGCAATCCTACTGCACTGCAACGCAATGGCATGCAACACACGGCAATGTCAATCAATGCGCAGCAATCCACAGTACGATGCGACGCATGCCGATTCAAATGAATGGGATACAACATTTGATAAGTTATATGCGAGGCGAAAGCGATATGATGCAACACGTGGAGTTCAGTGCATCGCAAACCTCATCACAAGGGCAAGCTCAGTGCTTCTGTCATTCAGGTGCCATCCATGGCAACGCAACGCAACGCAAGCCAACGCAAAACAAGGTGCTGTTTGGGCACGAAGGTGCACATTGTTTCGCCCCCCACCCACCCACACACCAACCTGGACAATCGCCCCCCATCAAGCAACGCCGAGAGGGACGTGTTGGAAGGGCTGAGCTTTAAAAGACCTCCGCACAGAATTCGGGCGACCCGCTGAAGAGGGCGGGTGCGGCGGGCCCAGGGGAAAGCGGAGGACGTTTTGGAAGCGCTGGGTTCTGAAAACGATCCACGCACGATTCTTGGGCGGCCCGCTGAAGGGGGGGAGGGAGGGAGAGAGAGGAAGAGGAGGAGGAGGAAGAGGAGGAAGATGAAGAAGAAGAAGAAGAAACATGAAGAAAAACAATTTTTCTCTTCGGTATTATTATTATTATTCATTCTCCTCCTCTACAATAGAATCCTCTTCCTTCAAGAAGGAGGCGGACGATATTGGAGGAGGGAGGAGGGCACCGCGAGGCGCCGCGGGGCGCCAGGGAGGACGCGCGGCCCAGCGGCGTTTGCCCCGCTCGAGGGGCGCGGGGGGGGTCGCGCGCGCGGCCGCGCGGCGGCGCCGCCGCGCTCGCTCCGGCGGCCCGCGATCGCCGCGGACCCGCAGGCGATCACGGGGGCTTCGGTGGCAGATCATGAGAGCCTTTCGAAGAAGAAACAACGGCAGAAACATAAACTGTTGGCGCTCCGCGCGGGTTTCTCGGACCCGCGCTGGGCCCCCCCCGGCGGCGCCTCCGGCGCCGCTCCTGGCGCGCTCCGCGTCCCAGGGAGAGGGGGTCCAGCGCGGATCCAAGAAGCCCGCGCCGATCGCCAAAAGTTTACATGGCGTTTTTCCTGAGCATGGGAATGCCGCTGTAATCACGTGGCCTCACCGAGGTTCCCGCCCTTGCATTGGGAATGAGAAGCCTGGGCGTTTTGGTTGATACACCTGCAGAGAACACCCTCTATCCCTAATGTGTTTGGCCCTCCTAGCTTAGGTGCCCTCCCAAAGGGTTTGGGGTCCGTTTTGTATTGTTCATTGCGTGTCCTCACGATGTCGAAGGCCTAGAGGTGGACACCAACACCAATATCGGCGGTGTGCCTCCACCGAGGCAAGAGGCTCCCGATTTCGGTGATGGTGGTAATATTAGGGGCTTCCAGGTGGCCGAGATATTACCATCAACGCCAACATGTAGGATCATCTTCCCCTGGTGGAGGCAACCCCCTGTGTTGGTGTGCTGGTGTGCATTTTCAAGCCTCCAACCTAGAGTGTCCACGCGGTGCCGTCTTCAGAGCGCACTAGCGCGCGATGAGAAAGCGCCGAGTCGGTGTCGATTAGCGTCGACTTGCGCCGATGAGCGTCGACGATCGTCGATGAGCGTAGCGTCGGTCAGCGTCGATCCGCAAGCGCCAGCAAGATGGTACGGCCGCGAACTTTGGCTTAGCGTATCGCCGCGGCGGCCCTGGCGACACGCAATGCCTCGCAAGCGGATGGCGTGCCGCTCTGCTCCGCGGGGCGGGAGACTCGCAAACGCTCGGGACGTGGGCGCCAGAAGATTGGGGAAGTGGATCCCCTCGATTCCGCCATAAGGGGGGGGGTCTGATACCCGCCAGACGGTTCAGACCCCCCCCCCCCCCCAAGTCGAGCATGAAAGGGCGACCTTTGGCCCAGACCCCCCCAGAGCCCTCCAAGACTGCGCAAGTCAGACCCCCCCCCAGAGTCAGA